TCGAAGGGTATTTGGAACATTTATTTCATTCAGGTTGGAGTGTGGCTTTTCTGTATCCATTGATTTTTGCATCCATGGGCAGTACAAATTAATACGGATCATTTATCAATCAGTGGTGGGTAAATGAGATGGAATTTGTTTTATGTAATCGCTAATACAGAAATCCATCCAAATTGCATGTCAGTGAGCTTGGTGAAACTTCACCTTCATGTCAGGTGCAGGGAATCCTTACCCCCTGAGCTATAAGGCCAGGTAATACCTTGAGTGCGTGGTCACGGAAAATGCGGATTCATTCAAATATTGTTTAGTATGCATGACAGCTGCTACACAGCACTCGACAGATGTTTCCCTGTCGGACTACGCCGAAAGAAGTACATGCAACTCGGAGAACATAAATGGACTCTCCTAGGAGGTGAAACCCACACCCGGAGCACATGAGAACCTCGTGCAGTGTCGAAATGTCGGTAACCTTGATTTCGATATTTCGAGCACGATATCTCAGATCATTCAACACTATAGTTTTACAAGTGTCAGCACAATTTCGGCGAAATTGTAACCAAACACCACCATAACTCACACCAAATTCTGAAGTGATTCACTCATTTGTATAACCCGCTTGAAAAAGGTTGTAGCATCAATATTTGTAAGCCGAAGTTAGAGTTTTATTATGGGCGTCACTTACAAGCGGATGCTTTTCTTGTCCCGTAGGGTGTTTACAGGAATTCCACTGTGACAATGATGAATAGAATTCCATATGATTTATTCGGTTGTGTTATGTGAGCTCATGGATGTTAAAATGCAATGTGTGTTAGTGATTAGTCAAGTTTTACCCTGAAAGAATCAATCGTCGTGGCACAAAGGAAATAAGATGGTAAGGAATTCCAGACATTCTCACGGCGAAGGAATGAAGTCGGCAGTCCAGTGGAGACTTTTGGAGTAGTAACTTGAACAGAGTTAAGTTAATAGAACAGCTCAGGTCCTAGTGGATCAACACCCAAGTCCTTCTCTGTTGATGCATACTAGTAGTAGTAGTAGTTCGTTTCCGAGGAGATAAGGAAACCGCCCATAGTGGCGTAGTGAATTCACCTTACATTTGGGGACACTAAATTTGATGGCGTTCGCAGTAGACCATTTGTGAGATGCATTCTGTGTTTCTTGGAGTTCCAGTATCTAGAAAGTTTTCGTTATGCCACATTAAGTAGTGGTTAAGCGGTTCAAGTCTCAATCGCAAGTTTGCAATGTATCCTAGGGTCCGAAGTTCGAACCTCGCCAACATGACCACCACGGTCCAAGAAAACAAATGTGCCGCAAGCAGGGGACCTAAAAAAACCCAAAATATTACTTCGTGAGCTGTCGGGCAACTTTTAATTCACGATCAGGGAAATGTGAACTATCTGAAACTCGTTGTGCGACGCCTTCGACAATGTGAAAGAAAAACAGATAATAAGTTCTAACAACGGATGAATTTGGTAGGAGAGTGGGCGACTAACAAAACTTAAAGGATCTCAATATAGTGGATAGTTCGCATTCAACTCATGGGTACTTTTGAGTAGAAAGGTATGGGATAAGTTGGTATTGATTGATTAGAGCTGACCAACCTTGCGACTTCACCTTCGGTGTCAAAGTGCGCCAATCCAACCCCCAAAATAACACATGCACGCAAGTACGCACACAAGCGCAATAATCGTCAATTCTTCCAGTCAACCATACACACCTCCAGAAGCAATAGTCTTACAAGTAACTGTGGGTTAAATACGAGTTATCAATCCAGACTAGTAGATTTGTGACTAATCAAACCATAACTTGCATGGAGAACCTGATTACGGGAGGGGGACGCTTTTGATTGGAGCTAACAGATAGTCAACTGTCTCCTCCCGTCGTTGCCATTCGAACCAAAATGAATCAAACGACTATCACTGAAGACGACGCCCGGAACAAACATGAAGTGACAATTATATTTAGTCTTGGTTTTATAAGCTCGTTTGCACTACGGTAAAACACACGTCTTCCATGCGATGGGTCCGGAGTTCAAAGCCCGAGTAAGGCGGTGTATAAATACCACTACCACTAAGTGTCAAATAATGAATTGTGCGAATATGTGCATTATTTTACCCAAAAAATCAATTTTTCAAAAAAAGAAACCGTTTATGGACATGTTTGTGAACATTTATGAACACTCTAAATAAACAGCATTTTGGTCAAATTTCGTCCCAAATGCGGAACATTTGTCGAACGGTTTCAACTATATTCACTGGAATTTACCGAGTACATGTGTGATCTTGCTGATCGGGGCGAGTGACAGGAAGTTAGCTCAATTTGTTCAAAGACATTGTCAATTAATTTTTCACGAGAAATCAAAGATGCCTATTTTTAATCGGCTTTTTAATCAGCTACCCCGAACTCGAAAGAGGGGCCTAAATGCTTCATTCATTTGACTTGTTGCACCAGAACAGATAAATAGGCACGCACACAAAATGGAACTGCAGATACAGAAATTTTGTCTGACACAATTTCAATACAGAACCTGGATTTAGTGGTAGACAGCTTTGCTGTCGCCCGGTTCTTGACCACGCCTGAACTATCGGGCCCCAATGTGGTTCACCACTGCAAGTCTCGGGGATTAGGTTGCCGGTTACCATCACTGAACAGCAAGACTAGATGACTATGGGGCTTTCCCCCTTCTGCTACTCATCACACACTGCTGTGTAATAAAAAAAACCCTTTAAATAATTAACCTTACGTTAGGCGTTTATATTTGGTAGACTCCGGTGACTTCTAGGGAAAATTCTCCCGTGAGACAGTCAGCTCACACGCCACCTGGTGGACGCCACATACTTTTGTGAGTAGGCTAGGTGATTCGGATATGAAAAGACCGGTGCTCTGTCGGTGTGACCGAGCAGCGTAGGTGGGTGGCGTTCGTTGCGTGCAAAACTGAACTTTTCACAATTTC